ATCAAAGAAATTAACTATTCAGTGGGAGATTTAGTTAGACGGTGGCAGCCTCAATTTATTAAAGGAGCAAAACGGAAATTACAAAGAAATTGGACAGGACCTTGGGTTATTACAGAGAAGTTAACCGATGTTCTGTTTAGAATTAAGCACTCAAAGAACTCACCTGCTATTATAATTCATGCGGATAATTTAAAACCCTATCGAGGAGAAACTTCAGTTCCTTGGTATAAACCTAAAACAATTGTATTAGATGCCCCACTTCCATATCTAAACTATTTTTCGGATGATGACAGAAACGACAAAACATTGCATAAAGTACCAGAAATACCGAGAAACACCGACGAAGTACCGTCCGAGAATGAATGTAAAAGAAACACGTTAAAACAACAAGATAAATATAGAAATAGGGTAGAACCGACGGATGCCACTTCAGACGGTAGTGCAGAACCGACCGGTAGTTCGGAATCGACAGGTAGCTCCTGTCTCCGTCCGGTAGTGTCAAAGGATCCGCCAAATTACATTCGCACACGCATCTGTAGAACAATCAGACCATCGTCACGATATAGACTGGATAACACCTATAATTAAGGATAATGGATACAATACAATGTGAAATTTGTTTTAAATGGTTGAAAAATAAGAAAAACTTTAATAGGCATAAAAGGGAAATTCATGGACATAATAGAAAACTGTGGAATTGTGCCGTTGAGTCGTGTCCACAAATGTTAAGTAGAAGATCCCACAGTAAAAAACATTTAAAGATGAAACATGGAATAAAGACGGAGGTGCATACAGAAATCCAAGTTGCTAAGGGTGATGCTGAGAAAGATATTGACTAGGATAACACTGGAAGTATTTATATAACTGTTAAAAACAATCAATATTCAGACATAGGTGAAGGTGAATTTGACAATTCTGTAACACCGGAACAGATTCAAAATACAGAACAGGACGCCGACCATACAGAAGGATTACCGAATATAGATGATTTAATGGATTATTTAGACACTGAAGACATTCTGGATATGAATAACAATTCAGTAATTGTAGACGAAACAACAAAAACAATAACATTGGAAATTACAAAAAAAAAACAACGACACTTGCTGATGGCACAGTAGAAGTATCAAGAGATAGTTTAATTGCATATTCTGTGAATATGGACGCGAATGAAATAAATGTAACAGACATTGTTGAAAAAGTTACATCGGAAGTAAATGACTATTTACAGAATAAACGTGAGGCTAAGTGCCAGGATATTTAGACTTATTTATAGCCGATATTGTTTCATCTATATTTAGAATTTACCTGACAGTGTGTTTATGGTCAATGGGTTAATTAACTATATATAGTAACATTTTGAAATGGGAATTTCAAGTGCAAGCCGGGAAGGAATTGTGGCGATTTTTATTAGTTTATTTTAATGTATTTTAGTAGTGTTATTCATGTGTGAGTGTTAGGTGTCCAGGTGCCGACCGGTGCCTCTACGGAGTTAGAATGGATACCAACAGGAACCGTCGGGGAACAGACACGGAACCGACGAGGCACCGTTGGCCACTTAGTATATAAGAGAGTGTGAAAGTGTGAGAGTTTAGTTTTAGTTGAAGTTGAGTTTGATGTTTAGATTAGTAGTAGTTTAGTGAGGAGTAGCTGATGATTATTTTTATTTATACTGTGACTACATGGAATTGTAAACTGTTGTATATATTTGAAGAGAATGATTAAATAATTATATTTTATATACTGTCTTGGTTGTACTAAGCCAAAACTACTACCAAATAAAAGTACAAATACGGACACGTAACATTAGTGTTCAGGGAGGCATTTTAGATTGGAAATTAAAAGTTTAGTTTTCAAAGACATTATTTGTTAGTACAAATTCTTCATAGAAGTGTAAACTTATGAAATTCGTCCCCTGCACAAATACCTGCATGAAGGTTTGAAAAACATTTTCAAACATGTAACCAATATACAGTACTCTCTATTAATATGTTTTGAGATTGTAAATTATTAAATGTTTGGTTGTAATAACGCAAATTGAATTTCGTGACAATATTAATTTTTAAACTAGCTGTATATACATGATATATGCACAAAATAAATTTCAAATCAACCTTTTATTTTTGTATTTTAGATTTGCATGCATGCAATTCATTTGAGCACGTACTTAAACAACAAAAAAAACTTTAAATTAATTTTTAAAAGGTATTAACTTATGCTATGATAATTTTGCAAATGATAAAGTATTTGAATCATGTATGCATGTAACCTAACCTTTTCAGAATTTGCCGTGTAATATAGATAATGTGATGTGTACACAACATGACATTGGTTAATTGTATAATGTATGTAGTTCCTGCAAGTTTACAGCAAACACGCAGGAGAAAGATTAATTTGAATATAAATGTTTGCCGCAGGTCTGCAGCAAACACGCAGGAGAAAGATTAATTTGCATAAAAATGTTTGCAGCAGACCTGCAGCGTATTTGCAGCAAACATGCCGCAAATACAGACTTTGTGTTCGCTGCAAGTCTGCTGCAAGTTCGCTGCAGACTTGCAGCAAATATTTGCAGGAGGCTGATATTTTCAGTAAGGGGGGGTCACTAAAATTTCCCAGCTTTTCACAAAATTGATGTTATGATATTGTACCTTCTTTTATGATTAAAAAGTCATTTAAATCCACGAAGCGTATGTATTCATTCATTTGTCTGTTAGAAAAAACACGTGTAATCATCAATCGGGGTCATTTATAGCCGACTATACGGTATGGATTTTTCTCATTGTTGAAGGCCTTGCGGTTGCCTGTAATTGCTTACATCCACTTCATTTGATCTTTGGTGGATAGTTGTCTCATTGGCAATCATACCACATATCTTTCAGTTTATATTTATATGCAAACACCTTTCAGAAAGATTGGTTTTCCATTATCTTGAAAAGAGATATATATTATAGAATACTGTGTAATATTTTTATATTTAGAATTTGACAGGCACAGAACATGTATAAAACCTACTATCATTTATCATATTTCATCAAAACTGCTAAACTCATTTCTTAATTATTGTCCTACAATGTTAAGAAACAAACACGTGTAACGCCACAACGGGAACATGCTTGGAATTAAGCAGTGTTTCAGTGCCATGTTCTTTGTGTTTTTCGAAGCAGCAATGTTTTACGAATGGCATTATTCAGGACATTAAAAATCCAATAGCATATAATAAATTATATAGATAGACGTGTAACCCATTCCTTTAAACCGATTTGACAGGTTTAAAAGAGCTCAATGATTTTTATACTGGACAGTGGTCACTTCATTGGAAATTTCACTGTTTCGCGTGAAATTAATGCACATGTAAAATGCATAACAATGGACAAAACCTGTTCAACTACTTTTACAAGGTGAAAAAGAAAGTCGAATCGTGAAGCCAGTAAACAATATTTTTTTAATCTGAGCATGCAAATTGAAGATTATGTTATATATTTTACATTAAACACATTCGCTGAACAAAAACATTTATTATGAGAGTCCCAAACACGTATATCAGTTGAAAGTTTTCCCACTAATTCCACGTGTTTTTAAGTGGTAGTAAACTCGTAGTAGCCCACAATGTATTGTAGTTCTTTGAGTCCATTGGTCAGTTTTTCAAGGCCATGTTTACTTTCATTTGGAAAATTACTATGCAAATATATTCTGACGTCAGGAAATCTAGAGTTCCCGACCTGTTACATGCAAATGGTTTTATTTTAATGCTTAGTTTGCAGGCATTTTTTATGGTACTTCTTTTTGACACGAATTAGCATGCTTATTTTGACTCAAAGTAGAAAGTTTACTTTTATTTTACAAATTAAAGTAAGATGAAACTTGAGTATTAATCCTATAGGGAATTCAAGATCCTTTTTAATGTTTACCCTCAGCTGACGTCAGAAAAAATGCATACTGCCATGTAATAAATAATATATCTTTTTAGGAATATCCGGTAAAGAAGGGGACAATGTAATTTTAGAATCAATTGTAACGCAACTTGTGAGTTGTTTTGGTGGGTTAAGCATGCAATAATATATGTATAATGTACATGATGTGGACAATTTGAGTACACATTAATTATTAGATGGCATTCTTAATTTATTCATCGTTGCATGCAATGCCTATATAAGTGTTGTATAGTCTTAATAGAGAAAACACACAATTACAATAAACATAAGCCTATACATTGTACGCATGAAAAAAGAGTTGCGTTTAGGATCATTGCTTAGATTAGTACTGTAATGTATAGGGTATGTATAACATTATGAATGTGAGATTTCAATAACTCTTTTATAGGCAAATATACTTTTGGTTACGGAAAAATGGTTTAGTCTCATCGTAGTTTATATGTCTATTTTATTAAAACTCGGTTATTGGTATCAAATGCGGTCAGTTTATGCTCGTCAACTTCGTACTTAATTTGACCTTTGAGCTGCTAATTCTTTATATTGACGAAACGCGCGGCTGGCGGACAAGATTATAAATCTGGTATCGTTGATGAGTTTTAATTGTCCAGTATTGTTTTGTTACTTATTTTAACCTTTTTATGTAGCCATAATCTTGACTTGAAATGAAATTACTGTATAAAAATATTAAAGTAAACGAATTAATAATCAAATGTGTATTACCTAATGCCCTAATTGCCTGTCGCAACACGGAACCATCCTGCCAAACGTATACACCTTCTGCCTGGTTATCATCTAAGCCAATCCAAATATAGATGACATTTTCTCTAAAATATTAAACGTATTTGTATGTATGCTTATATTACTATACATAAAAACTAGGAAATTACGAGTTAAATAAAGCTTTTCTTTTGTTTAATTTGAATTATTTCTAGATTCTTAAAGAAAATTGAGAACACTTGCAATCATGATTTTTTTCTGTCGTTCGATATACTAGTCCATGTACATGATACATGTATCTACTATTTATCTATAAGATTTTACATAATATAAATATATATGTACATTTGCATCATTTCTTTTATGAACTCCATTTCCTCACGAGTCTTGGGCATTATAAGGGTAGCATTCTTGCTGATATTCCTACACAAATCAATTGCTTGATACCAGGAGGCTTTAATCACAATACCGACGTTCTTAAGAATGTGATAACATTTCCCCATGTAAAGTTGCCATTGACTTGTATCAGGACATGCTGTGTAAAGAGTAGTATACGTAATTAGTATATTACATTCAAAAAATAAAAAAAGAAATAACTAAACAATTGATCATAGCTGTTTGTAACATGATATATACATGTATACAAATGGCCGTAGCATTATAAACTTTTCCCGTCTTTAACGAGTTAGAACGAGTCCAAAACAATGCAAAATCAAATCTAAATTATCACTCTCAAGTGCAAATTAATTGTGTCTTTTAGAACTGTTTTTTTTGTTGTTGTTGTTAGTTGTTTGTTTAGGTTTGTTTCGATCTAACGAGTCAATATAAAAATTAGAAGATGTGGTATGATTGCCAATGAGACAACTCTCCACAAGAGACCAAATGACACAGAAATTAACAACTATAGGTCACCGTACGGCCTTCAACAATGAGTTAAGCCCATACCGCATAGTCAGCTATAAAAGACCCTTTTCAACAGTATTTATTTTAATTTTAATAATATGTTTTTATGTTGTGGTGTTACACCACGGTACCAGGTTAGGGGAGGGTTGGGTGCATGAGCCTGTAATTCTGTAGTTGTCGTTTGTTACTAGATATTAAATTATTAATTTTCGTTTGTTGTTTTGTACATAAATCAGACCATTGGTTTTCCCATTTGAATTGTGTCATATTTTGTTATGTTGGGATATTGTACCGCTTGCTATGCAGTACGGGATTTGCTCATTGTTAAATGTCGTTTAGTTGTTAACATCTACTTTACGTCAATTGGTCTTTGGTGGATATTTGCAATCATATCACATCTACTTATCTTATATACTATGAGAATATGATTTCTACATTTCTTTTAATTTTTCGTGTCGTTGCTGCTGTCTCATTGTTGTTCGTAGATTCTCCTCTCTTTGTATTCATATTCCAAACAAATAAACGTCAAACTTTAATATATTTATCTCGATTTGTTTTGTTTCCATGATGGATAGTTATGTCACTGGCAATCACACAACTCCCTTTATATATATTGCATTGTTTTGTGTGGAGGTGACAGGTCTGTGTTATTATAGTTCAGGAAGCAGATTAAATTATTGTTGTTAAGTGGAAAATGGAATGTTTGCACAAGTCAAATGCGGGAATCGTATAGTTCAGGATAGACACTTTCAAAAGACATAGTAACCAGGCGTGAATCCAGAGATTTAAAATATGGATTCTAAAGGGTTCGACATGGAAAAAAGAGGATTCAGCCTTTCTTTGTGTAGTTTTACTGCTTTCCAAGCAATCACGAGGAAGCAAACGGCTATATACAATTACTTGTTTAAAGTAATTTTAAGAATTTAAATATCTCAAATAACGCTTTCGTAACATCATGTGGGGGCCGATGATAATACAGCTGTTGTTGCACTCTCTCCCGAAAGTAAAAATGTATCTCAAAGAGCATATGAGGATGTTTGGAAGGATTATAATGTCAATCAAATTATAATAAAAAAAAAAATGGATATTATAATTAAAATTTCAAGAAACTTAGCTATGTACTCATTAAAGAAGTCCTCTATGGTACATACATTTTTAAATCTTCATAACATTTGTTACTTGGTCAACATTGAGTATATCCTAAAATTAATCTTTACGATAGAACATTGATATTCTTCTCAACATATTGGTAGATCTATAAATTTAAAGTAATGTAAGTAATACATCTAAAGTATTATACAACTATCTACACGTTTGTGATTGGTACATTTGTGTAACACTTATCATAAAACTATTATATATCTACATGATGTGTAGACACTCACCATTTACCATTGAAGAAGAAAAGAGTATCTGTTCGCAAATTAGAGGATAGATTGAACCACAAAATGCATCATTCCATCCATCATTTTTTATCATCGTACAGTCTTCTCCATATTTACTATTAAACCCAATATAGTTGTTTGGCTCGTCTACAAACAAAACTTTTAATCTACTAACAATTAAAATAACTAGATTGTTTTCTACCGAAATATAAATTGTGACCATTATGTATTATTTGTTGGGTTGGTGGAAGACGTTAAAAATTATATCCGAGTCTTGTTGTTGTGATAATAAAGAACTCTATTGAAATAAACTGGAAATATATGAAAATAAAACACAATATGAATATCATGATTAAGGTAAAACATTGCCTTAAATTACATTGAAGCAAACGTGGTATTGCCCATTTAAAATGTTAACTTCCGTGTCAGTCGCAACTTATATATATAAACTTTTGTACCTGTGATCCAGAAAGTGTTATGTGCTTCATATTCAGAACCATCATTCCATACAAAATTGCCTTTGTAAACGTCATATCTTAGACCTAGCCACACCACAAAACTTGAGAATAGCCTATACAAATATAAAAGAGTAAATGATCCACATCGAAATAATGCATTTTGTACATGAAAATAATATACAATCAGCGCATACATCGTACGTAACGATATCTAGCCAGCTAAATCAACCAAAGTGGTGTATAAATCCGACAGAGTTCATGGAAGGTCTGCCATATTAAACACTTGAATTTAAGTACCCGTATCCTAGCCCCTCAACTCTATATACACATAAAAAGGAAAAAGGGAGAAATCTTTGTGAAACAACTACAGCTCTTAACTGTTGTTGGATTTTTTGTCTGTGTCCTTTGTTTGGTTCACTAATGTTGCTGTTGTTGTTGTTGTTGTTCAGGGGGGGGGGGGGGGGGGGGGGTCTAGAATGAAATTTGAAAAAAAGGTAGGATGAGCAACTTGGCAAAAAAAAGGCAGGATGACAATTTGTGTAAAAAAAATCAGGATAAACTAATAAAAAAAAAAGGCAGGACAGAGATTACAACTAATAAAAATACAGGACAACATTTTTCATCCATCATTCATAATAGATTTAAACATGAATAGTATTGAAATATTTTGTATGGTCTTGTTGTATATTTTCGATTTTTTAAAATTGTAAACCCATGTCAAAACGATAGTACGGGCTAAATTTGTTGCACCCTATACCTGATGCGTAGCAAATTGAAACTCCTGTAATATTCGGTGGTATAAAAATGTGCACATTTTCCTTAAACTACTTCTTTTTCAAACTACTCAAAAAATTATTCTCACAACAAAATATACTGTTACTAAACCATGATTCCCTACTGACAGATGCCACTTGCAATATATTTTTAAAACTGAGCTGACAAACAAGATTCTCTGTTATGAAATGTCCAAAGCAATTATCATGTATGGTATGCAAATGCTTCACTTTAATTAAATTGCATGATAGACTCAATTTGTGGTTTTCTTGGCACATTTGTTACCTTATGCTCTTACTTCAAATTATATTTGTACTATCATGATTTGTTTAAGATTGGGTAATAAATATTTGGTAAAATTCGCCTCAAATAAGATTCGAAAAATAATTATAAAAATCAACGTACAGTGACAAGTCTTGGATGGTTCCAACATCTTTTGGGGACAACATATTTGCATTTTGTTCCGAACATGCCCGCTTTCCATCAGTCCAGTTATAAAAAAGTGATTGGTCAGGAAGGTAATAGCAAGTGTCATTAGATACCACGTCACCTTTTAAGCATTCACCTGAATTATCAAAACAAAACTTAGCATTATAACTCGCATATAAGGATTAATCCTTGTAATGTTTTTGTCACATTATCAAATGTATTCATCTCGATTAAATGTAATCCCCTCTAGTCCTTGAAACTGTCAGTGACTGTCTAATTTTATATCTTACAATTTTTTTTTTTTTTTAATTGGAGGATTTGTGTTGATGGCAGATCATTGATAGTTTTCGCTTATTTATTTATATGTACAACTTGTTTATCTAGTCGGGAGGGTTACATTGTAGGAACTTAACATATTGCGGAGAATTGATGAACACAATGTATTGCGATCATGATTTTTTGGCATTTGGTTGCTGTGGCTTATTCTTATTAGATACTGTTTATTTATATTTATCTACTTGTTGGAAACATATTTTGCTCTGTCTTATTTTTACTCTCGAAGGTATCGTAAATGGTGGAAGGGTCGATTCGGATTTATATACTATGGTATTCATAAACCTTCAACAACATTGCGGCAGTAAAACATCTTTCAGTTTTTTTTGTTTCTTTTCGGATTTTTCTTTTTAAAACATTACTTAGGAGCATACGATTTCTCACATTTGTAACTGATCTAAAGAAGGGGCATATGATTTTACATCAAGTTGTAAGATCACACAAAAAAGAGCATTTGTATTACATTTGCCGAAGAAAGATATTTAGAAATGAATCTTCGATAATTCCTTAATGATGCTATTCGGGAATTTATTAGGTACATTGTAGCACCTGTCTCATAATACATGTAAAAATCATGATAGTTTACAATGGAAAATTTTACATAATTCATTCCAAAACTCACCATTAACTGGGACTATTATACTAACTATTAATTGCCTTTGTTTATACATTGTGTTTTTATCCTTTAAACAATTTGACGTTTATTAAAGATCTTTGATAATCTATATTTATTTGCATCTTGTAAAGACAAAACAGAAAGTAAAACGGAGAATTTTCAGATCCTTGTTAGCAAAGCTTGGACCCAGATCAGATTGTGACTCACAGAAATCATAGTTTTACATTTATGCTTTATTAGACACTTTTCTCATTATTGAAGCCGGTGCCCTGAGGTGATCGTTTGGTTCACTAATGTTGTTGGATTTATTGTCTGATTCAGGTATAGCAAACATTTTTCTTCAATGCATGAGCAAATACATTTATCATACAAAAGTTAATATTTTTCTTTTATATTTTACTTTCTTTATATTGTCCAACTCACAATGATAATTCATTTCCACAATTAGCACATTTATTATTCAATTATGAGGGTCTGGATGGGGTTTACAAAATAGAGAAAAATGGGCTAAAAGTGCAGAATAAAAGCCCCCCCCCCCCCACCCCCCCCCAAAAAAAAAGAATAGAGAAAAATAGGCAAAAATGATAAAGAATGACAAAAAATGGGGTGCTAAAATATAAATAATGGATGATAATGGGCAAAATGAATATAGAATAGGGAAAATGGTCTACAAACTGCAGAATAAAGCAAATAAAGGACCTCCTAACCGGACCCTCAATAATCAATCGAACGACCGATTTTTTAAAGTTTGATCTATATAGAACCTGTATAGATCACCAGGATGAATCTTTATATTGTATCATGTTTAACACCAATAAACGGACGGCCTAAACGGGTATTCAAAAACCGGGATTAAAAATCATAGTTAAAAACCAAAGATTCTTTCCTTTTTCTCTCTTTGTAAAATGAAGTTACAATTTATAAAACGGTTAAGTAAAGTATTAAAAAAATCAAGTTAATTCGAATGATCAGTCCCATATAGTGATACATTTTTTTTGTACATGTACAATGTAGGTATTGCGCATTGACAATTGATAATAACAATAATGATAAGAATTGAATTATAACAATAATATTTAAAGTCGGAATTCGGATATAAATTTTTCATAAATTGTACAATCGTATTTCTATTATCAATTTTAAACAAGAATACGCAAACTAGTCTTCCATTTTATCACACAAGATTAAAAAAAAATAGATTGCAAAGTTCAGGGTATTTTACTAATTTCAAATTAATAACATATGTACAAAAATTATACTGATATTTTACTGTCAACCTACTTGTATGAACAGGTTTTATAAGCATCACCACCAGTATCCATAAAGTCATGATGAATGCAATTGTTTTCGTAAAACTTTGCCTTCTTAAACTTATAATTTAAACGAATATACAGCATCGTTTTATATGAAAAATTCATGTACGTATAGATTTTCAGAACAAAATATTTTTTTTATGAAAAACAACTATATCGTATTTTAAATCTTTGCACAATGTCGCTTAAAAATTCATAGATTTCTAAATGTTAGATGTTCAAATTTCTACTCTTCTCTTTGTCACCAATGCAAGAATCAATAGATCTAGCTAGCGTTGTCTTTTTCCCTTTTACTTCACGTTATATAGATGATGTTTTTACATCGCGATGACCGTGAGGGCATTCCGATGTATTGTTGCCACAGAGATTTCTACTTACGTAACTTTCGTTTTTGGCTGGTAACCGATCTATAAATACGCGGACATTATCGAGTGCAAAATAACATTCCTTGTCGCTTGTTATAAATTCATTTCTTCAATGAATACTCATAAAAAAAATTTTTTTTAAGAACATAAATTAATAATATGAAAATGTTTTGTCATAAGAAATATATATATATAAGTAAAAAATCATTAATATCTATGCACACGTACAGAAAAATTGTGTCAACGCATGCAGAAGAATATCTCAAGAAACGTTTTGCGGGAAAATATGAATGCCTACTCAAATCCAATCTATTAGAAAAATCGAATTATTACAGAAGAGTGTCCACCAGGCACTTGCACTTCACTATTATTAGAATAGTAGAATAGAATGATATACAAATGGATGAAAATTATACGTATGTGTAACTGTTATATACAAATATTAATATAATATATAACAACAAACCAGAGTATACTGATTTGTATCATTACAATATAATAGTTATTACGGTGAGGTTGAATTCCCTGTCATTTATTCATCATACACGCACGAACTTGTCTCAGAAAAAAATATATCTCTGTACATTAACCTCACTTTCAGGTACAGAGATGTGATTTTTTTTTCTGAGACAAGTGCTGGTGACCATCCACAAGAACTTGCGGTCATCCGATTTTCAGTACTTCAGTATCTTTGATTCTCACTGATATCAATAGCATTTATGTAATATTAAAAGTGCAAATTTGATATCGCTTGATATCAAGTCAAGTTATTTAAATTAAATATCGAGAGTTGATGTCAAACGATATCCAATTTTCAAGAGTAGTTAAACCTATTTCTCTTATGGTAAAATGTCCTGGTACAACTGAATAGTCTGGTTGGTATATAAAACATTTTGTACGCTTCAGAATGTAATAATATTTGACAAAAATAAAATGTTCAGGCGAAAAGTGATTTGTTTATTATTGAAGAAAAGTGTCTCCGTCGCCATTGTTTAAATATGCGTCGTTTTGACCTTTTGAAAGTCATCGATGACATAACGATAGCCAATGAACATGTCGCAATTTTGTTTCATTATGCTGGATAAGCCAATCAAATTTTAATTTGTATTTCTCATGAGTGAAAATCCGGTTCACCTTTTTGTAAAGGTAGTTATACCAAATTTGTTGAACATGTCTGTCATGTTAAAGATAATGCATATTTCAAGGTTTTTCCTGTAGTACAAAACACCGAGGGGTGTCAGCATTGATTAAATGAAAGATTGACCTATCGTTCTGGAAGTACATAACTCCATATAGGTATATTAGGTAAAGGTAATCCATGTCCAAAATGGTTCGTTCATGTCTCACGTGCATTTGGCACTACAGGTAAAAATACAAAAAAATCCTATAGGATATTTTAGTATCCCATTCCTATATAGGATATTTAGTATCCCAATCCTTAAGGATAAAGCTATAATCATATAGGATATTCAAAATATCACACAGGACAAGTTATTTCCTTAGGATATTAAAATTTTTTGCCGCCAGAATTTTTTCAAATTATTTATTTCTTATAAATTTTTATATAGATATAAGAAGATGTGGTATGAGTGCCAATGAGACAACTCTCCATCCAAGTCAAAATTTATTAAAGTAAACCATTATAGGTCAAAGTATGGTCTTCAACACGGAGCCTTGGCTCACACCGAACAGCAAGCTATAAAGGGCCCCAAAAATTACTAGTGTAAAACCATTCAAACGGGAAAACCAACGGTCTAATCTATGTAAAAAACGAGAAACGAGAAACACTTATGAACCACAGCAACAAACGACAACTATTGAGCATCAGATTCAGACACTTGTCAAAAACAAGAAGATCAAAGAAGCCAGGTTATTTAATTTCACTTTCAGATATAGTGATGATGTTCTTTCCATTAACAATCCGAACTTTTCTGATTGGGTTCCATTCATATATTCCCTAGAACTAGAAGTTAAAGAAACAACAGACACGGCTTCCTCCGCCTCATTTTTAGATTTATACCTCGAATTTGACATATACAGTCATTTCAGTACAAGAATCTATGACAAACGAGACGATGTTAATTTTGAAATTATCAATTTCCAACACCTTAGTAACAATATACCAACTTACCCTGCATAAGGGATATACATTTCCCAAATTATTCGGTATTCAAGAGCTTCGGCTCCTACTCAGACTTTGTAAAACGTCACCAGTGTCTGAGCAGAAAGTTGATGAACCAGGGGTATGTCAAAGAACGTCTCGTCCTTTTTCTACAAAAGTTCCTCGGAAGGTACCAAGACCTTGTTGATGAATATTCCGTATCAACTTCACAAATAATACACGATGGTCTTGAAGTATAGATGCTGCGTACTGACGTTGTTTATCATCTTAATAACGTGTTATAGTATTCTTTTATTTGTCTTTATTAATATTACTTTAACTGTTAAGTCTGGGTTTTTTTGTGATATCCATTTGACGTG